CGACTGGTGGACGGATGCCCAGCTCTGAAGGCAGTGCCCCGCCAGCAGCAGCGCAGAAATAAGGGTGGCAATATCATACCATGCCACCCTTACTTCTGCACTGCGTTCAGGGCGGGACGAACAGAGGGTGGCGACTGGTGGACGGATGCCCAGCTCTGAAGGCAGTGCCCCGCCAGCAGCAGCGCAGAAATAAGGGTGGCAATATCATACCATGCCACCCTTACTTCTGCACTGCTGCTGGTGGCGGTGCTGCCTTCAGAACTGGGGTCCTGGTCAGCAGTCACCACTCTCCAGCTGCCCAGCCTCTGAAGGCAACACCACTGCCAGCTGCAGCACAGAAGTAAGGGTAGCAGTAGTGCCAGGGCCGGCTCCAGCATTTCTGCCGCCCCAACGACGCGCAAAAAAAAAAAAAAAAAAAAAAGCCGCGGTCGCAATTGCGAGCGGCGGCAGCAATTGGGGGTGGTGGTGAAGCCGCGATCGGCGGCGGCAGGTCCTTCGCTCCTAGAGGAGTGAGGGACCTGCCGCCCCTGAATTGCCGCACATGCTGTCCCTCTCCCTTGGCCGCCCCAAGCACCTGCTTGTTAAGCTGGTGCCTGGAGCCGGCCCTGCTGTGGGCCCATTGATTCAAAATGGTGGCCAAAGAGATGGATACTTCTCCCATGTAACCTTTATAAAGTCACTCAACAGGCTCTTCCATTTATACTGTAATGGTCTGTTCAAGGCAAATCTGTGGGATTGACCTTCCTAAACTTAATGTTACCTACTACATTTTATATTCTTTCCAGGATATAATTCAGAGGAGAATCTGTGTGACCAGTCCTCTGAGGTAGAGTTTTCAAGAAACAGACAACATGGTAAGTTTATGGAATGTAAGATTACACTAACCCCCTATATTGGGGCCTGCTTCATAATGTCTAAACAAACTCTTATAGGCCATTATAGTTAAACTTGGATTATAAAATGATCTGAAATTATTTATTATTAATTTCTTTGGGGGGTTTGGATCCAAATGTTTTATTTTTATCTTAAGATTTTTTTTAAAAAATTCATTATTTCCCAATGAAACTTAAAAAAGAAGAAGAAATTCCTAATCAAGACAAACTGACCTGCCTCAGCAGCAGCATGTTCAGTGCATGCAATACAGGTGTATGCACTGATTTTTAAGATCAATATTTGCATATAACAGGGAGGGAAGGAATCAGCCGTAGTAGATTTCTTCGGGGGTGGTAGCAGCAGCACTGGGTAATAAGTGCCTTCCTGGAGGACTTTGAATTTGCAAGCTGGTTAACAGCACTAAAAATTCACTAGCTCACCTCTAAAAAGGAACTTGAAAATAGAGGAGGAGGAGAAAGAGAAAACTTAACGTTTGAAATAAAAATGCATGTTTCATAGTTGGACCAATAAAAACTACCTTAGTATATCAAACATAATATCACATTAGCCCTTTTCATCATTAAAATTTCTCTTTGTGGCAAACCTAATTACTGTAGAAGCAAACTGAAGAATACATTTCTCTGCACAAAATGATAGTAAGAAAATGAGATGTTCTTAAACACCTCACAAAGAAAGAACAGGGTTGATTTGTGTTTCTCACTTGATGTACATCACATTATGGTAAAATTTTCAAAAGTGCCAAAGTCATATTTTAAAAAGTCACTTAGGCATTTAGCATCCTAAGTCTCACTGTAAGTCAATGGAACTTAGGCTCTTAAGTCACATAGGCATTTTTGAAAATGTTACCTTTTGTCCAGACCTTATGTGCTCATGAACTTAATATTCCTCTTTCTTTACAGTTTCCAAGCCAAATAGTTTAGAGAGCAGTCGAAATGCATCCAGCAGTAGTTCACCTCTTAACTTGAAAGGTAAGATATTTTCAGAGCTGAGATGCCTTCTGACGAATAGGAAATGAAATTGAATTGCATGCAAAGCATTTTCTTTTCTTTCCAGTTGGGCTAGAACAAATAACATGGTTTTGTTACCTGAGCAGGGCCTGGCTACCACAGAGACTTGAAACAATGTTAGCAAGAATGATTTTTTTAAAGCATGATCATGACTAATGGGGCATGAATTCTAGGACAGAGAGAGACCGATTCTTCTGCCATATCAAAGGCATAATTTTGGGGTATTCTGATGGATGAAACTCCAGATTTAAATTGTCTGTATATACAAGCAGTTCTCCAGCATTCTCACTCTGTGCACAACTTCGTAAGATAAACATGCTTTTTGGGCCCCACACTACAAGAAAGATGTGGAAAAATTGGAAAGAGTCCAGTGGAGAGTAAAAAAATGATTAGGGGGCTGGAGCACATGACTTATGAGGAGAGGCTGAGGGAACTGGGATTATTTAGTCTGCAGAAGAGAAGAATGAGGGGGGATTTGATAGCTGTTTTCAAGTACCTGAAAGGGGGTTCCAAAGAAGATGGATCTACACTGTTCTCAGTGGTACCAGATGACAGAACAAGGAGTAATGGTCTCAAGTTGCAGTGGAGGTTTAGGTTGGATATTAGGAAAAACTTTTTCACTAGGAGGGTGGTGAAGCACTGGAATGGGTTACCTAGGGAGGTGGTGGAATCTCCTTCCTTAATGGTTTTTAAGGTCAGGCTTGACAAAGCCCTGCTGGGATGAATTAGTTGGGGATCGGTCCTGCTTTGAGCAGGGGGTTGGACTAGATGACCTACTGAGGTCCTTTCCAACCCTGATATTCTATGATTCTATGCTCTCTAGATTGCTAGAGTTCTGTCTATATTAACAAGGATTAACATATTAGGCTAAACGTGGTGAAACCACTTTGTGCTGCCTCACTGGCAAATTGTGGCGCTCAAGTTGGCACAATGCCAGGGCTAGGGGGCTCTTTTAGTGCCACAGAGCTGACACAGAGGCTCAACTGTTATCCCTGCTGCTAGCAAAGAGTGTGGCCATAGGAAGGGATATGGCCAGGACACTACCACACTGTACCAACCCCCTGGCGGCTGTTTCAGCTCCTTAGGACCATTAGCAACCAGCGTAATTTAGAGGAGCATCAAGGCTGCTGTACTTTGTACTTGAGGACTGGCCCTGCACACACCAGCCCCAAGATCAAGGTAGTGCAAAGCTGACTTTTTGTGTGTGTGCTCTTCTGTTATGGCTCAGAATCTGGCTCATGAAGTAGAACTTCTTACTGCTGTTCTGGGGGCAAGTACCTCAGCTCATTTAACTGGATTCCTTTTTGAAGCTCTGGAATGTGTACTGTTCCTGGTATTCTGAAGTTCTGATTTCATATGGTTTTGGGGAGGAGGAAATAATGATTGTAAAGTCCAATTTTAGTTGACATATTCAGCATGGAAAAGGAACTGAATCATACATACCTAACTCAGTAGGGAGTTGACATTCTTCTAAAATAGAGGAAAATAAGTGTTTTTAATGTTGCTTTTTCCCCTCCTCAGGTTCTTCAGATCGTATCTACGGCAGAGCTGAGAGCCTCAGCAGTGAAGATATGGTGCCAAGTAGAGACACACCTGCCTTGCCCAGAGACAGCTACAGCTGTCATTCCACTTCTGCCATCTTAAGCTCTAACAACAGACAAGACCCCTCCCTTCACAGGAATGGCTCGATTTCTTATGACATACCTCAGAGGAGTAACCCAAGCCAATCCTATGCTGGCAGGCAGCGATCTGCTTCTCCTGGCAGTGACATGGTGACTTTGGAAGAGTTTCTGGAAGAGACCAACAAGTTATCCCCACCGAGTGTACGTAAAATAAAACTATAGCTATCTCAGGTGACATGAAAATATTCCAAGCTGATCTGACGGGGAGGTGACAAGAAATAGGAGCATAGAGAACAGAATATCAGGGTTGGAAGGGACCCCAGGAGGTCATCTAGTCTAACCCCCTGCTCAAAGCAGGGCCAATGCCCAATACAGTGAAATACTGTGCGATCCTCACTAATGACTGTGAGACTCATTACAGTGGAAAGGTGGGTGAGGTAATATCTTTTGTTGGACCAACTTCTGGGTGAGAGAAGCCTTCGAGCTACATAGAACTCATTGTGAGCTATGAATTTTGCAAATCAGTATTTAAGCAAACAACCCCCACAAAAAACCTCAGGATAATACATCACAAATATCCTGTTAGTTTATTTTTATATCTGTAGCTAGAGCTAGTGAAATAATTCATTGTAAGTGATATTTGTTGGAATATCGGTATTTTTTTCATCCAGTAATTCTTTGTGATTAAACTTTCCCATTATTCCACCAGCTCTAAGTTTAGGTGAGTTTTAATTATTTGTGAACTAGTAACTGTACTGTGCAGTATTCTGCAGAATTAAATTTTAATCATCCGAGCCTTTGATACAGTTCTCGGCTGCTAAATCTCTGCCGAAAACTAAAGCTTGACGACCATCATTAATTGAATTATAAAGTGTGCATCTTAAAGAAGGTCTGCTCTATTTAAAAAATCTCACAATCCAGTTTTTTCAGGAGGATTTTATTAAGGATTTGAGGGAGGGAAGTCTCTGTTCCCCTGTATTGTGTTATCTGTTTCTATGAACCATGTGGTACTGTTGTGCTGTTGGTGAAATCAATGCTGCAATATTTCACTGTGCAGTTAAAGATGTTTTGTAGGAAATAATATGCATTTGTTTGTAAATGTCTTGTATCGCTTAGTGATGATGCATACCAGTCACGTGAAATGTCGCAGTACAAAACATTTTGATGTCTTCAGACCAAATTCACTGCTGGCATAAGTGAGTGAAAGTTAATGGTACATCAACAGCCCAGTAGCATTACTGATGTCATTGGAATCCCACCCTCTTATGACGTCAGCGAATTTTAGTCCTCAGTGTTTAAGACAAACCTTTTAAAATGTATCGTAGTCCCTTGTTCTGAGTCCCTAGTGGTAAATTAGTTGAATGCAAAACACTTGTTGTCTGTAACCATGTGATCATGTCTCCATTTTCATTCTTTCTGTCATCCTTGTTCCTTTTCAGCGGCGACACAGCTTAAATGAGACCGAAATTATCTCATTGCACCAATTTCTGTTAGAGGCTGATGCACTGTATCCCTCTTGCCATTTCCCATCTCATTCCCTCCATCAGGAACCTTCGTGTTCAGTCGAACCAGTCCTCAGTCGTTCGTGTCGTGACAGTCTGAGGCACAGAACTGGCAGGGGGAATAGGAGAGCAACTTCGCTGTATATCCCCAGGGTATCCATCGCTATCACTGTGCAGTTAACAGCTCACCCCTCACTCCAGCCTGCAAGCACATTAATGCCTATGGAAGCTTGTTTTAATGTTTCATCGCTACTTTAGTGTAAAAACTAAAGTAGCCAAATTACTCATATTAATGATCCCTAAAGTATTTCTAGTGCTGCGCATGAGCCCCTGTTTGTTGGGAGGATTGTAATAGCACAATATGGTGGCCCTCTAATTTTAACATGCACTACAGAGATTTAGACTAACATAAAAAAATAACCCAGGCTCTTAGCATTTGATTGAACCTGGAATGCTTCTGACACAGTAAGGAATTATCATGAGCTGCCATTTTATAACTCTTACTATTTACTATGAGCAAAATGGGTTTTGCTACTGGAAGTAACCTTCTCTGTAAATTCTAGTGAAATGAAAAGATATATTAAACCATGACATACTTCCCCAGAGAAGAGCAAAGAAATGAAGTACAGACGCTCCCCGACTTACGCAAGCATTCCGTTCCGGAACGCCTTGCATAACTCGAATTTTGCGTAAGTTGGAAATGTATCTCTGACCATTAAGCAAAAAACCCTCCTATTTCTAGCTTACGGAACTTTTTCTGTAAATGTGGATTTGCATAAGTCGGGTCTTGCGTAAGCCGGGGAACGTCTGTACATCAGGTTGTTTCAGCACATTCTTTTTATAACTAACACGTCCATTAACTATTCACAGCATGCCTTGTACTAATATCTCAACAGCAGTTGATAGTGTCATCCGTATGTTTTGCCTGAGTCCATCTCCATTAAGCATTTATTGTATATTTTCTTTTGTGGCCAGGTTAATTATTTGCCTTCAGAATATTGCACATTAATTTCTGGATGATCAATCATTCATCTATTGTACATACAGCATTTAACACATGCAGTATGTTGGTCTTGGTCCAAAAAAACCCAAGCCCAATGAAATTGCCCTATAGTAGGCTGCTAGCACATCTCCACTTAGAGTAATCTCCTGTTGTTTCACTAATATTGGAACAAGGTGTTGTCCAGAACAGCCTGCGTTCTAGAAACAACAAACACTCAATCACTGATGTGCACTAAATTGGCCGATACTAAATGAAGCAAAAGAGCTGCAGCCCAGGGTGCTATCAAGATGAATTTCTTTAACTGGTGACAATTAAACTGGCAAATAAGGCTGTCACAATCTAATTTTGATCATCATGTAACTCATCGATCTACATTTAGATACTTTTCCCCCAGTGCTCTCAGCTATAGGCATGAAATAAGTGGTTTTATATAAGATGTTGAGGGTCCCTCAAAAGTTGACACTGACACACCAATTAGTGCGTAAAGCACTTTGAAGGTGAGGCATGTTGTACATAGTGCCAAGTGCTCTCTCTCATACAGTTACTTTGTGTTGATCCCTGGGTTGCTTGATGTGTGGAATTATGTTGTGACATCCTTGAGAGGAAAAGTGCTCGCTAAACACATTTTCCTTATAACAGTATTGCCATTAACGTGCCATGTATGTATTTTCTCCCCATAGGACACTTCCAGTAGCAGAGATGACTTGCTGAGTGATTATTTTAGAAAAGCAAATGAACCCCCTCCTACTGGGAACCAGCTGGGTCAGCCAGGTAGAAAGGAGACAGCTAAGACGCCTACCAGCTATGTGTCACCAACTATAAAAATGACCATCGCCAGTGAAGAGGGGAGAGTGGCTAAACCTGGACACTATGTCAAACCCAACCTTAGACCAGCTGAATCTGAGGCGCTGGCAAACGCCACAGGATCTCTTAAACTTCCTCCCACACCACCACATCAGCCGCTCAGTGCACTGAGGCCGATGGCACAACCGCAGCAGACCAGTACGATGAGCCAGAGGAATGCCTCCCTGAGCAGAGCCTTTAGTCTGGCCTCTGCAGACCTCCTGAGAGCCACAGGCCCAGAGACATACAGACAGGAGAGCCCTCAGAAGCTGGGTGCAGATGTTCGTGCAGGCAAAGACTCTGGCAGTCAGACCTTGCGGCTGTCTGTGCCCTCAGGCTCTCACGCTACCGTACGAGACAGACCACAGTCTGCAAAGGCAGCGTGCACCTTGCAAGCTGTCGATTCCCGTTGTCGGCAGCTTGACGTGAGACGTCTTTCTCTGGCACCTCCAAAGGATGAGAGGCCTCTTTCGTTTCATCAGTCTTCTGCCTCTGCCGGTGCCAACAGTGTGCAGCAGCAGGAACGAGTGAGTGCAGTGCCTGGGCAACACTATTCACCCACACAATATACACCGGCTAAAGTCAAATCCAAGCCAGCCGCACACTCCGGGGAAGTGGCCACCGTGACTCCTGTCAGAGCTGCCTCTAGTAACAGTGAGGGCGATGTTACCCAAGGGCAAAGTCGGAGTGATGCCCTCATTAACAAATGCCAGAGTAGGTCACCAGAAGGCCACACTGGTGCAGGGGGAATAGAGGAATCCAACAGAGGGGGCAGCTCCAGGAGCACTCCTGGATCTCCAGATCCCCATGGGGACCAGCAGACTGTCTGGTATGAATATGGATGTGTGTAATCCGTTGATTCTCTTGGTAATGTGTTTTAAGCTGGTGACATTTGGGTGGAATTTGCTAGTGGCATTTGTCTAAACACTGTGGCAGGTCTTAAAAGGCATTACCTGCACCTCATTTTCTAGTTTGTCTAAATGCCTTTCAGGCATTGGTTTTTAATGGAACAAAGGACATTTTCACGGTTAAAACAAAGAACTGAACAGCCGAACCAGGGCCTTTCCTTTCACACTATAGTGCCTAAAACAAAGTGGACCCCTTACAGACTCCCACAAAAGACTTTAGGCCTAATTTTCAGAAGTGCTGAGCACCCACAAATCCAGTTGAAGACAAGGGGAGCTGTGAGGGCTCACCACACTCTGACAATTGGTCACCGCCTCTCCCTATCTTTGTACTGCCCTCTCCCATGCTCCCCCAGATTCTGCATTAAAGAAACATTCATGGGTCAAATTTAACTGTGTTGAATTCAGCCCTCAGTTTGAAAAATGGCTTAAGTTGCATAAAAGATCATGTAAAAGCCAAACTCCTCTCTGGGGAAAAGAACCAGACGCTTGCAGCAGCTTAAAGAAAAGCTGAAGGGCAAAAGTGTATGGCTTTGCAGTGGATCTAAGGAAAGCAATTATGTTTGTAACAGCTGCATTTTATAAATAGGAGGAGTTGAATTAAAGGGTCCCATATTAACCTTTCACATTGGGAACTGTTTGAACCCAAAGAGGTCAGTGTACTTGCCTCGCTGCCTCCACTACATGCACAGTTCAGCGGATCCTTGATTCTGAAAGCCAAGTGGTGCTGCTTTTTGACACTTGCTTTATCTTTTATACAAACACTGGAACTGATACAGCCTGTTCAGGGAGATGCCTGCTTTCAATGGCATTGCAAAGATGGCATCCCATGTACAAAGGTGACTTGTACACATGTAAATGAAAAGTTAAATCATTGTATAGGATTGCTGTGTAAACTGTATTAATAAATGTGCTATCACTTCTTCTTGCATCCCCATGTGCGTGATTGCCCATGTCCGAAGTAATATACAGGAATCTCTCTCATAGGATGAAGTCTTTGTTTCTGTCTTAAAGAACTTGTTCAGTGTAGAAACCAAAATAATGTTATATACATGAGAAAGAAATCTACTTTTAAAAATCTATTTATGTTCAAATAAAATTTCTCTCATGTGTCTGTCAAGTTTCATCAGCTGCTTATGTATATATGATGAAACATGTATCTTTAATTCTATTTCATGTTTGTAAAGGTGTTTTCCTTGTATTAGACTAAATCCCTAAAAAATTTAAAGATTTTCCTTACACTGGTTCCGATTTAATATAGCAAAAGACCTATGTAAGTAATTTTTAACTGATATCAGATCAGCTAGGAATGTTTTTGTTATATAGTATGTAGCAATCACATTCTGAAAACTACAGGATTGTTTATAATAAAAGATTAAAAAAACAAATAGGTGCGATATGTTTTTTCCTTTAGAAAATCCCAGATTCACAGAGATGGGTCTAGATCTGAGTCTGGGAGATTTGTGTAAATTTATTTTAATACTGAAAAGTATTCACAAACAATATAGTTGCACTTCTGTAGCAGGGTGCTGGTGCAGAGACACCTAATTAGCCCCTGCTCAGCTAGCCCCAATCAGGGGAAATAGATTGGGGCTGGGGAGAAGGCTGGTGCCTGGCCTTTAGAACTGGCTGCACCTGTGGGCCTGAGGCTTCAAGGGCTATAAAGGCTGGCTGGCAGCCAGAAGGAAGGGGGGATGGCTGGGGAAGGTCAGTATCCGGGCTGAGGGCAGGATCTGGGTGGAAGTGGAGATTGTAAGGCCTGCAAACTGTATATAGTATATCACTGGTGGTGGGAGAAGTCTGTAAATAAAGCCATGGGTATTGCAGAAGGAAAAGCCTCTCTGTGCTTTATTGGGGCAGCCAGTGGGCCCCGGGAAGAAGGCTGGGCAGAGGACTTGTTACAACTTCTCTGTACAATATTTCCATATTAGCTTTATCATAAATTGATATTGTTTAGATTGTAATCTTAATGAGGGCTTCAGGGCAACGAATTGTGAATTAAATGAGAGGCATGTCTTTGTAGGAGCAGGCACTTAGATTTAAGCATTTCTGAGCCGAGATCATTTTAAACAACACGAAGCACATCATTGATATTTAACAAGTATGAATTTACATAACACTTTTCATGCATTAATCTCAAAGCATCTTACAAACGTGGATAAACATTATCTCCAAACTGAGGAACTGTAGTAAAGTGACTTGCAACATTCCCTGTTACTTCAATCTAGAACCCCAAGAAGGCATATGTCTTTATCTACTGCATACTCCTCTCTTAAAAATCCTTCATCAAGGAGTTTGCTTGAATATATTCACTGACCTCCAGGTTAAACTGCTGAAGAATTAGAACCGTATCTGGGAGCTTACAGTCATTGTAGCAGCTCTGATTTGATGGAGACCCATGAGTTTCATCACAGCCTTGATCTCTTCAACTTGAAAATCAATGTTTCTAATTATTTATTAAACTGGCATGTGAGGTGTTTTTAATTATCCTCTGAATCCTTATTTGTCTTATTTAAACTTATATTGCCTCTATCTCATATCTAAGTGCATCACATAACTTTAAAAACACAAATTGTAACAGTGAATATCTCTTAAAGTGGTCTTAAAAACCAAAGCCACTGTGAGCCTAATATCCTGTGCTGTAACACTCAAAGTATCAAGAGAATTAACATTAAAGAGTGAATAGGCAAAGGTGAGCGCTCTGTTATAGGGACATTATACTGCAGTCTGTTCAAGGTATACATCATTATCACTTGACCTTTAATAGACTTGGTGGCTATAAAATCTTTCCTACAGAGAATATCAGTCCACTAATTTTCTATTCAGTGTGAGCAGTTGGAAGATTTCCCTCCCTCAGAAAAGGCCTTTGAGACAATCCCCTGCCTCAATGCAATAGAACTCCCTCAGGAAGCAGTGGAATCCCCAACACTTGAGAAATTTTAATAATAGGCTAGATAAGCTGATTTCCTAATACAAACTAATAGAAAAAGTACTGTGAAGAACAGTCTAGTGCTGAGAGGGACATGGACCGGGTGATTTAATAGATCTAGCCTTGCTTTAATTTCCATAATACCACTATCTTCCTTATAGCTATCATTCTATGTTCTGTGAAGTGGGTGGGTGTAAAATGGGATGTGAAGCTTAGAAAGGTTTGCTTTTATTTTTCCTTTTTACTTCAAAAATTCAAAGTAAATTTATAGCCTCCCCCCCCCCCCGACACACACACACACACACACACACACATTAAATAGAAGACTGTGAGAGGGCAATAGTCATGGCTTTCGTTTTTTTTTTTCCTTGGTGATCACGTTTTGCAGTAAGGGCCAGATTTTCCAAAGAAGTGCTGTTCATAGTTAGGCACCCAAATAAGTGGACAGATTTTCCAAAGAGATCAATCCCTTGACTGCTGAGCTCTGGAGAATCTGTCCATAAGTGTGACTAGATTTGTAGTCAAGGCTTGTGCCCATGGAAATACTCTCACTATGCAATGCACTTATATGCAGAACTGGGCGAGGCTGTTAAATATAAGTGAGTAATTTTTATTTTAAAAACCACCACCACCCGAGTGACCTTGTTAATCTCTTGAATTAAAAAAGCAGCTCATATGTACAGTACTTCTTGATAAACCCCTTTTGTTCATTGATGCTATCTCATCTAGTATGGCCTGGTTAGGAAATGTAAAGCCCTGCTCCTCTAAGGAGCAGCCTTGTGACAGGAGTGTTTGCTCTGTTGGATATTCTGCTCCTGTGCCCCAAAGTTTGAAGTTGTCTTTCAAATATACAGACTGTTTATTCTGAGTTTAACGGGGACTAAAGTGTAGGAAATTGAAAAAGCAGAATATCAAATGTAAGTTATTTTTTTCCATAATAAAGGAGTGCAGAGTAGGAGCTCTTTTTAAAAATGGCTAAAGCATGTATGTTTAGATCATTGACAGACACATACCACATAGCTGGAAATTATTTCTGATCAGCCAGATGGTTTGTGGGTGGGTGAGTTGGTTGGTTGGGTTTTTTTAAATTTGGTTTAAGGTAAGTAATTTTAAACCAGGAAAATCTCTGAAACATACAGAGGGAATCTCCAATTAGTCATGGAATGATTTACAACCTGTGGAACAGCTGAACGTAAGGAGTGTATGTGAAAGAGGAGAAAATAGTACAATAATTATGATTACTAGGGAAAGCCATGAGAATTTTTAGCAGGATATTTCAGCTTGAGAACCAAATGAAAAAAACAAAGGCATCTCCAGAGACTATTGAATTATGATTAGTTTACCATTCTGCAGGGCATTTGGAAGGTTATGGGACTCACAAGATTGTCCTGCATCTTTAAATATATTTTACAAACATTTCTCAAATTCCTTGTGAACCTATGAAAAAAGCTGTAAGTGCTTGTGAATGATTAGAAATATTTTTTTCTTTAGTGATCTGAAAATTTGAATTTTTCTGTGTGGGCACTGTGGATTTATGTAATGCCATTTAATCTGCAAATTTGTATGCTGAAGAGTGAAAAACGACAAACCATCAAGGATCAGGGAACGGGTATTGATATGGGAGGCTCTTGGAGATTTTAGGGGTTTTTAGCCTGACTGTAGGGCTTTGAAGCAAGAAGCCGTCTCATGGTAATACAAAATTAAATGGAGAAAAGCAAGCAGTATGCACCAAGTAGGCCTTGTACCAGCACAGTTTGTAAAGCTGTAATTGGGCCAGAGGCAAATACGATGCATAAGGTGAGTAACTTAAACTACCTTTTGCTCAGATTCTTCTTCAGCCTGTTCACACTCACTTTGCCCATGTGCCAGGAAGTCTAAAGTGGGGATAATTTATACCCTGAGGAGCTATTATAACATGGTGTATATTAAAGAATCCAGCTGTTTAGGGTGTAAATTACACTCAGAATCCTTAACACATGGAGAGAATAGATCTAGGGGAGTCTGAATGTAAAGGGGTGTAAATTAGCTAAGGGGAGAGTCTTAACTCTGATACCATTTTATAAATCACTTCTGAATTAGGTCTATTGGCTGCACAGGTGCCTTTATGAATTTTGAGTAATCAATGATACATTGATAAGTTACATAACTTGTGTTTTTGCTTAATATTTCTTTGTGTAGGGTGAATAGTTGTTGTTTTTAAAAAGAACTGTGTATGGTGGGGAAAAATCAGGTTCTAGTGTCAGTGTGCTTACTAAAATCACTTTCTCAAACTGCTGCATAGCACATGCCTGTGTATCATCAATATAGTTGCTCATCTTAGAATAGAAACAAGAAGTTCTTTGGGTCCTTTGTTTATAGGTCTGCCTCAAATACAGCTTCTGAATTAGGCGTTTGCATGGAGAGTTATGTGTTTAAAAAAACTTCACTGTAATATTTCAGTAAATTGTCTAATTTTGATATGCAGCCGCCTTACCACTCCAGTTAACACACAAATTATCAGTGCCACTGTCATTTCATCTCTATAATGGACATGCTACTAGAAACTGACTGCACTGCTCTTCTCAAAGTTTTGATTAATTCTAGCCTAGATTTCATCCTCTCCAGCCCATTAAAACAGCCTGAGAAAGGTCGCCAATGAGCTGTTCCTAGCTAAATCCTGGGAGCACTTCTGCATGATTGCTCTTCTCGATCTAGTGCTGCCTTTCACAGCACTGCTCCACGTGCTCACCTCTCTTGGCCTTATCAAATCGCTGCTCTTCCAGCTCCCATCTTATCTTGCACCATTCTCATTAGCTCTGGTCTGTTGGCATCCGCCAAAGTTCCATTCCCAGCTGCCGCCTCCTCCTCTTCAATCTCAGCAATCTCATCTACTCCCAAGGGTTTCAACTACCACTTGTGTGGGGTGATTCCATATCTACCTTCCACCCCTAATCTCACCCGCCCTGTTTTGTCCTGCATCTCCAGCTGCCTTTCAGACCTCTCCCAAGGGATGTCCTGCCACCTCAGTCTGCTCATTTTTTCCTTCTTCAGCACTTACCTTCTCAGTCACCATTGACAACTCCACCCTCCTTTTTTTTGTCTCCCAGGCCCACCCCCACAGTGTTATCTTTGACTCGTCTCTGTCCTTTAATTCTTCCCTCATAGCTAGTCTCTGTTCAAATCCTGTTCCCTATTCATCATTTCATATCAACAGTCTGCCCTTTCTTCATTACCTTACTGCTAAAAGCCTTCACTACACCATAGACATTTCTTCTCTTTACTGTCACCTCTCTGGCCTCCCACCTCTTAGAACTGCAGTTGCCTTTTTCTGTCACACAATCTTCATCAGCCCCTTTGGTGGCATCCTGTTTCTCACAACATCAAATTCAAGCTTCACATCCTCTCCTACAAGGCAATGCTGATACACAGTCTTGTCCCTACCTATGTATCTGCTCTCAATTCCCTCTGTTGCTCCT